CTGACTAGTCACATTATTGATTTACAAATGTAAGCTTGCAACGGCAGAAAACTTTCGGTTGGATTCATCAAAAACTGGTGCTCAACCATGAAAAATGAAGTTCGTTTCCAGGATCCACGCAAAAAAAACCGACGTATCTATTGCTATTTCTATGCATGCGAAAATTTTCTGTTGAACAACGTCATCATTGCAGCACAATTCTTCGTGATTTCCTGAGATGATCAATCAAAATGATTACAGCATAGGGCTCAGTCTAGTGCCTTTATTCGCCTACTTTTCTCTTGTCACGTTTTACTTCATGATATAATGTGACATCTTAATTCTTTCTTGAAAATGCTCTACTCACATTATACGTGCACAACCAGTCATTTGACGATACTTTATTGCACATTCTGCGAGAAGACTGCACTCAGCTTCTTTTAGCAATTCGTTGGTATTATATTGAATGGAATCAAAAGTATGAAGGAGAAGAGGAAATGACTAATTCACAATTGAACGATCAGAAGTTAAAATTTTATGTTCTATTCGATGCATGTGAACGTTTCATAGGATGTCACAAAAACTGTTCATATGATCGCCGTTATTCGTCATCTATCTCGTACCAAGATACGTTGAGCGTTCACCACCGCCACCTGCCCCACCACCAAACCCATAATAATCTTCAGCCGAATGTCTGACACCACCACCACCACCACCACCACCACCATTGTATCCACCGCGATACTGAGGTGCACAATATCCAGATGTGGTACCGACTCCAAAGCCTCCTCCACCTGAAAAGACGATAATCTTTTCCCGTGAATGTGTTCGGTCAGTTTGATGAGTATTACAGCATCAAACAGCATTTTCCTTCTGCGTATCACCCTAACTCCATAATAAGTCCACCTTCTCGTGCTCCACCGCCAGCTTTTGCAGCACACCATACTCACGTGAACCTCTTGTAGGGACTTGATTACCACTGGACCAAATGGAACGTACAAAGGAATCTAATTGTTTGATTGCTCAGAGTGTCTTGGAGTCAAATGTTCTGAGTAAGATCACATTGTTACGATTCGGAAAGATTTCCTTTATTCTTTTCATTTTGAGTGAACGTTAGCATTCAACAGTAATAATTATTGCATTCAATTCGCGACGGACTGAACCGTTCCCTGTGAAATTCTTTCCCGTTACGTGATAAGTTATGATAATGCGCCTAAATCGGACTACTGCAGCATAAACGTTACAAACCTCTATTGTCGAAATAACACGATGTTTCGCCTCCCCCACCTCCAGAACCGTAATTACCGGCACGGTAACCACCCGCGTTCCCGGATGGGAACGGCGCCGTTCCACCTCTTCTGGAGTTGGCACCAGGTCCCCTTGGTGTCATGTATGCCGATGTGACACCGACTGCTCCATTCGCATTCCCTTAAATTCAGTCTCGTTATTTTTGGTGGTCACAACACTCGACGGAAATCACACGAACACATTTACCAGAAAACAAATGATATACTTAATATTTGAATCACTTAATCCGTCAGTAAAATTTTCTGAATGCAGAAATACTATCAAATTTGCTACGATAGCCTTACAAAGCTGCAAATGATTTTAAACTATAGAAGGCATACCCCCAACTCCGAAGTAGCACGATGTCGCTCCCCCTCCCCCTCCTCCAGCATTTCTAGAACCATAATTACCACCCGCTGGAGACATATACGCTGAAACACAACCACCTCCTGCGTTTCCACCTGAAACAATTTGAACCGCTGCAATGCGACTCATGATTTTGTTGTGCTGGAATCAATTGGGCCAATTTGACTGTTCAATGAACCAATAATACTTCGAGAAATCGACTCGCTTTCACGAGAGCAAAATGACTTTCTTGCTGCAGAATATATACTGGACATGTATAATGCGTGAAGTAATGAAGAAGGAGCGATTAAATGTGAAGATTTAAAAGATGAACGTAACCTCCATAATAACCCGGAGTTGGGCCACGATTTCCACCTGCATAACCACCACCCGTGTTACCTGAAATAAATAACTGACATGTCAGAACACCTCGACCCAGATAACTCGATCTCGTACTATCAGCACAGCTCAGGTTCTATTTTTAGCAACACACCACGAACTGTTATTGTGCTTATAGCTCACTTTTAACACCTACTTTATGTTTTGATACCCCAATGCTGATGCGTAGAAATGATCACCACTCTTATCTTATCAAGCGCTACTTTAATTCAGTTTTATCGTCTCAGTCGAATTTCTAAACTAATTTCGCTTGCACAATGCCTCTTTGAGGTGAAACCCATGGTCTCCAGATGTTTACCACGAGCCTGATGATATATCGAGAGAACACTTCAATATGTGCTAGTGTGAGACTCATCAAAATTAAGCTTGATGTAGTTGGAAATTATCTGATGTCATTTAATCCTAACAAGGATTGTTTTGGAAAATTGACGATCCTTACCTCCTGGCGTTGGAATAGCCGTTCTTGCTGACATCTCTAAATATGAATCATTAATAATCCATTTTGATGGTGCATGAAAAACGAGGCGTATGCGAAGACGCATATGCCGAGATAGTACCAACATAGTAGATATCAGTTTTGGATGACTTATCAACGATACCTATCATTTGACATTCCAGAACGGTTAGGAACCAATTAAGGGAGGAGGGGATTGGGCCGCTGCCCTGTCTGTCCAGTTAAGGTACCAAGAACATGAAAAGATATCTCAACATACGTTTCACGTATTCAATCGCTGTTCTTATATCCGGTTCAATTTGAGGTACATTTCTGGGAGCAGGTGCAGATCTATTGCCCACCACAGCACCAGGTGATAGGTATGACGAGACGAATGCGCTGCCTCTGTCATCATTCTGCACTCCGAAATACGCCGACCTTGCACCGCTGCCACCTCCTCCATAATTGCCACCGTAGCTGTTGTTGGCCCTATAGTTAGGTGAACTCTGACCCTCACCAACTCCGAAATACGATGACTTCGCATTACCCACGTCATTTACTCCGAAATATTGCGACGCCATTATTCCAGCAATTGCGTGCTCAGCGCTTACGACCACCGTAAAGCGATTAGAAAACTGAAGCAATGAATTTTCTTGCTGTTGAAAAGGCTTTATAGTAGCCTCGGCTATCGATTATACAAATTTACGAATTCGAATATGAATTTTTTGAAATTAGTTCAGAGTACATATTAAATGCAGATATTGTTTTGAGATACCCTCGCTTGGACAGATTCAATGGAACAAACAAATTGATGGTGTACAACTCAAAATACGGTTGCGCTCTTCTCTATTATGTCCATAGAAGTGAAGTTTTGAGGAAGTCTGTCGTCGCTTATATCAAAATACTTTTCAGATAATATTTTGATAATCTGTTTTTCGAATGTAAAAGAAATACACTGCTCCCTCCCTGTTTATTAGCATACATTCCCAGCAACCAACTTTTCATACCAATCACCTGGCAGAGAAACATAAAGCTAGTGGACAGAAAGGATCTATAGTGCACAAATGCTGATTCTTCGGACACGCCGCTTCATTAATGACTTAAAATATCAAAGAGAATCAATAAAACGAAACGCAGTTTTTTAATATTGAAGCCCTTTATTAAAGCAATTAAATAAAAGATATAAGCGTTAACATTTGAACGAAAAACAAATCAATTGCAACGATTCAAATCAAATCACAGAAGTAAAGTGACAAATTAACACTACTCATTGACAGCACTGATTTCTTGATGCAAATTCGACCACAAAATAAACAATCAGCAACCGATAATCGACAATATGATCCAAAAACAACAACATTTCCAAATTTTAATAACTTACATACATTCTTAACTGATAAATCAACAATACGTCAAATTGCATAACATAATCGAACAAACTTCCGATGAAAAAGCAACAAAAAAGAATAAAACGATGGAATGACGATTGCGGCTTCTCTTACGAGCATTTTTGCAAAACCAAAAATTTCACGAAAGATCCCTAGTTCCACTTTTTTCATTTCGACTGTATTACATTCAATAATTCCAATCTCATCTTTCGTAGTATACTTGGTGATTTCCTGTTAGAGGTCTGTTTCCATATTCCATTATTATAAAGAATGGAATATAACCATAAATTTAAGATGATATACTCAAACGTTTTAAATAATTTGCTGTGATGAGGCATCGCAGATGAATCGACGAAAATCAGGTCATTTTAAACTGCCTGTACGTAGTTACCAGGGAACAGACCAGTACAACCATTGAGAACGCCTTCATACCATCCATCTTCGTTCTTTCGCAGCACATACACAACGCTGTTCTCTCGCAACGTCAACTCATCTGGCTTCTCGGCATCGTAGTCGTAAAGAACGACCGCTGCAAAACAAATCAGTATTTCGTAACAGAACTGATCGAAACTGAAAAACATTAATGCATTCAATCGAAAATAAACGACGGAAACACTGAAGTGGAGACGTGAAATATCAGTGTCGTCAACAATCACAAATGGATAAATAATGACCTTTTTCGATATACGCCTTTGGAATCCAATCGAGTGTTCGTTCATAGTTGGTTGACAACAGTGTTGTATCACTAGCAGTGCTCATTGGAGGTGGCGGATAAGACAGACCGGTTGGTGTGCTTGATTCGTAACTGAGTGTAGATATTGGAACCGATGGCGGCGGAGGCGGTAAAGGTTCTTCATCAAACAGGAGGGAAGTTGGCGGAGGGGGTAATCCCTCTGTAAAGAACATCTGGTCATAACATTTATTACATAAAAATATAAACTCATGTGCAGTAAACCAAATGTCAAAATTACAAAAAGAATAACAATCAGTAAATAATTCTTCAATGCAAACAATTTTAAAACAAATCTTCACCGAATCAAGTTGAACGACTCTTTTGTGAGCAAAAAAAAATGAACCGATAGTAACAGAGCTAAACTTCTGAACAAGAAGGCATGCGAAGTAATCAAATTAACGGAAATAACGAGCATATGTCAACCATTTTTAATGTGAACTCAGGAAACTGACCAAGGCTATTAGTTGACAAACGATACTGAGCAACAGATGACAACTGAGGAGGTGGTAAAGGCATCATATCATGAGGAGGACTGCTAATACCCGAATAAGTCGAATTCGTTCCTTTTAAAGTGCCATAGTTTGACGACGGTGTTTGTAGTGAACCGTAGCCGGTCGTAGTAGAATTCGGCGCATTTGTTCCATTGGCATGAAGAGTGGTTTGAGTGAGCGTTGAGAAACGTTGAGAATCGACAATTGGAGTAGAGGCGATTTGTGGTGTGCGATAGTGGTCACTGCGTGTGGTGGATGAACGTGATAACTGCAGTAGAATAATGTTATCCAATCTTCATTGCATTGCAATGAATTGAGTTTAACGAATTAGACTGAATGAAGTGAAATCGATTTCGTTCAATTACCCAGCGGTGAAATTGAGATGGGACGCATCGGCTGGAAAAGCACTGCTCTAAAGTAAAGTGTAATACAAAATGAAATATGAGATTTTACCAAAATTTTTGATCGCAACAAAGAAAATGAACTGATGTTTCTTAGCATTTCAACAATTTCTTTGAAATGTTTTATGAACGGATAAAATATGATTAAATGACTTTCAGTACTGAGGAATCATATCAGCTACGACAGAATTAAGGTTAAAATCATTTTCGAAAAAAATCATTAGTGCAGAAGTCAGCTGTTTCGTCAATGAATCCAAGTTGAAATGAACAATCCAAATATAAATATCTCAATATAAATATAAATATCCGAATTTTATCCACAAGTCTCTCACAGAACAAATGCACAACAAATAATTATCCGATCTAAACCAAGAAATTACAATGAGAAACAACAGAGGCGAAGACATTCAGGAAACATACCGTAGCGGTAAGATTAGCCTTGGGTAGCAGTTGCTCGTAATTTGGGAAGACTGGATAATGAGCTTGAGCACTACAGTTCCCTGATACAATCGAACCTGTTCGCGAAATCAACGTTCCAGTAGCCGTTTCTACTGGCTTCGCACCATGGCCCAACTCATCCAACACTGAGAAATCAATCGCAGTACGTTGGTAGCGTTGAGGACGTTCCTGAAACTTGTTCCAAATTCTACTTGATCATGTAAACTTCAACCGAAACACTACAGCATCTTGCAAATTTTGCGCGCCTCAAACCAACTCATCAAAATCCGCACATCGGTTAAACAATAATCAAAATCACTCCTAGCACAACTCCATATACTCTCCTGAACTGCATTGTTTTTGGCTCCGTCGATTATGATGACTAATCAAACCTCGCGTGTAACAAATCATCTCAGCCAGAGAAACCCTTACGAAAATGAATTTTTAAGAGAAATCAATAATGCTTGAACATGTTATTCTGCTAGAGTGAAGTGATATTTTAATGTTTGCAGAAATTATTAGAATAAAACTGACCTGCAAAGCTGGAGTAATAATTTTAGGCTGTTTCTGAACACACTTATTGGCCGTCAGGACTCCAATCTCTCTGCGAGCCACTTTCTCCTTATGAATGGCTACTATCTCGCCAACGTTGTGCACCTTAACGAAAGCACTGGATAAATCACTGAGGATGGTGAATATTCGCACACAATGTAAATTATAATCCAATTAGACCTCTGTGCTCTCGAAAAATAAATAATGTTGTGGTGATGTTGCAGTGACAGCCTATAATGATGGGAAGAGAACAAACAAGTAAAAAAGTTGTACCTGGGTGGCCATGTTGGCAATTTTTTCGGTTTGCAGATCGAGCGTTTGCAAAAGGGCACATGCTAAAGTGTTGACCTGATATGCAACACTTGCAAGACTTTGCACTGTGAAACGCTTCGTCTCTTCGAATGCTGCCCTCCTATCCGCAGCCTGAAATAATGCTGAAGACGGTTGAGAAAATATCGAATGAGGATTTCTAAATGATAACACTGATACTAACTGAAGGAAAGAAATGGAGAGCAAACGCTAAAAATACGAAGCATGCGCATCTTTCAGACACACTCAAGAAAAGAAGTGAGGGATTGACGGGCCCAGGCCAGTAAGGCCAACCGAACCAAGAATTACCGAGCTCAGCGTCCCCACAATGCACTTATTCGTGTTCGTGCTTTAGCACAGCTCGATCAGAGAAGCCGTGACTCGGCCTAGCAAATTTTAATCCGGCCCGACCCAGCAATTCTTGGCCTAGCTCTCGAATCAGGTCGGCCCGGTTGCTTGGGCCCGACAATTTCATGCTCCTTGTAAGGGATTAACCTGAGCATAGTTAGCCTCACAGTAAGCGGCCACCCGTTCCAGATTTGCATAGCTATTCTCGAGACTTGCTCTACCCTCTGGAATATCCGTTTCGATCAAACTCCTCAAAGTTTTCTCTGGATCTCCGTCATTCATCCTTCCTGAAAAACGTTCAGCACTACGGTGTTCATAAAAATAACAACCACTCCTTGCGCGGTAACTAAAAAACAGTTAAGAAATCACCTTATGGTAATGTTGTATTTCAGGTTGGTAAAATTACAACAGAATTTCGTTCGTGCGAACATTTCTTGCTGTGCTTTAACTAACATATTCAACTGCGAGTATAAAAGAAATGCCGTTTTGATTTATCAACCTAAAAGACGAAATTACCCACCTTATCAAAACGTCGCCAAAATTAGAGGACGTTAGGAATCAAGAGGAAAAAAACTGAAACAAACGAAAAAATTTACAATCTACCGAAATTATTGATTCGAACAATTTACCATTAATAATCCATCTGGACATATTGCCACAATTTAGCATCTTTATCGCTGAACTAATGTTTGCATGCAATCTTAATGAACAATGCAGATGGGGAAACGCCCTTACTATTAGCGTAGATAAATGTTCTTTGTACGTTAATATTTTTATTTTCACGGGGTTAGAGATCATTTCACGGGGCTAGACACTTCATAATGGATTCAACTGAGCGGAATGTGTTAGTAATAGTGTACAGAGTAACTGTGATTGTTGATTGGGTTGGTAAAATCATTGTACAGGGTTAGATAATCAATTATGAGTTGATCGTTATTTTCATCAAAAGTTTGCAATATGAGCGACTTGTTGCAGGTTATCACGTTGTCAAAGAAAAAAAGCTGGACAGCGTGTAACAAGTCGCTCAAAGTGCAACGTTTTGATGAAAATAACATCCTCAATCAACTCATAATTTATTATCCAATCTCCGGTCCTACTTAACTACGGTAACTAGCCACGCCCACAAATTACGGTAGTACGCCACGCTCATGTTTAGGTCACTCCCACATGGCTAGTTATCGTAGTTAAGCGGGAAAGGATCACTTCATCAAAGAACACATATAATGACTATACCATTTTATGACTGAATCCAATGAGAATAGCACATGATGAATTCTTTAATGTAATGAACAGTACTGATGTGGAAAATATGATGAGATGACTGTCACAGTACTTCATTCAAAAGTAACTGATTTGATGTACAATCGCAATAAAATGAAATAACGCAATCGAAATATGCCTATGTAAGTTCAAATTAAGGAATTCGATCATCACTTCACACTACGGCTGTGCTGACAATCGGAATGCAATGAGAGTTTGAATTTCAACTTTTTTAGGAGTCAAATTAACGGAAGTATGTGTATGATTATTAGCGTCAATTGGAAGCATTCAACTGGATACACGCATGGAATACGATTGTCCACAACATATGTCATTAAACTAAAAATTAGAGATATAAAACTGCTATATGCATACTTACTGACAGCTAGCAAACACATTTATTCTCATTCTTGAGCCAGGAACTTCAATCGGGAGTANCAGGGTTAATTGACTACGATGACTAGCCACATACACAGTTAATGCAACCAACGGGAGTCGTACCTCCCTGGTTGAATGACCACAGTAATTAGCCGCGCTCACAAATTATGAGGGTTAGCCATACCCCCACTCAACGAAAACGTTATGAATCGAGTACGAGCACAAAGAGTTGAAAAATCAGAAACGGTCACACACATTTATCCGAACAAGTAACGAGGAATGTCCACTGCTAATTCATTATTTGTGTTAATACTATGCTGTAAGTGTCAGATCACAAACAGCAAACTGCTCCATTCTCCATTGTTATCGTGTGTTTATGTTCACGAATTACCTCACTCATTTTTTGCTTGATGGAAAGAAACACGAGCACGCAAATTCAGAAGTGCTGCCCAAATTCTGCCCAAAATTTTGACATGAAACCTCGCCCATGACATCCGACGAGAAATGTAGGTTTTTCTGATGTTACATATTCTATACAAAAAAATTCAGCAGAATTCAGAGACGGCAGCTTTTCCTGTGCATATTACTGATTTTCAAGCAGCGATATTCACCCTAGCTTGCTGATCTCATCGTAGGAATTCAAGTTAACATGCATTCCACGTCATACCATAAATGCTCTACTCGCTGTATTGTTTTGCCATTCCTATTCAATGTTAAACGGCATGTTAAATGTCTTTCGTAAACTCTCTCTCCTTTCGAAAGAATCTATTATCTTATTTCAGAATTCTTGTTTTTCGTCCTATCATCATGTTCCTCGAAAAAAACTAACTCATTCCTCGAGAACTGTCTCACTATGCTTAAGTTTTTTCTTACTTAAATTTGTCTCACTAAGACTGTAACATGTACTGCACCTGAATTCACTCAAACCTATCGGCGCAAAACTACAGCAAAACAAGTTATGTGCTATGCGTGCGTTATGTGTGATGTTTCTCAATTATGTGCGATGTTCCTCAAAACAAGTTATGTGTGCAATCTTCGCATGAAATGTTCCTCAACTTATGGATACTCATTTGAGTAACACTTTGCTAATCGCTAAGTGTTTTGCATTTGCAAATTTTCAAAATGCCTTCTCACATCGATATTGCACTTGAACCTATACTGCACTTGAATCCACTCAAACCTATCGGCACGAATCTACAACAGTTGCCGCCACGACAATCCAAAACTCGACAAATCCTCATAGCTCGTTGATCCTTTCAGGCGATTTCGGTGTAATGTGTAGCAACACGCGGAAAAATATTTATGCAGCTGTCGCGCCACGCACCATTGATACTTTCAAATTTATCCCAATCTCAGCAAAGTTGAGTTTACGTCCAGGGAGAGCTTCAAACTTGAGACTGTCCCTATCACGTGTCGTTAAATTGCAACCGGGTATTTTGTGTGGGGTTCTCCACGCATTTCGCGATTCTGTCTCAATCACGGAACACCACTAAATCATGCCTAGCAATACTTCCCCTCATTATGCCTGCCGCGACAGCACAAAAAACACGGTAATGAAAAAAGGATGAACAAAGTGGTGAAGGCATGAAAACACGAAATAATTACATCAGCAACAACACGAAATAATCACGGCAACAGGACAATCATGCAAATTACCATAAACAACAATTAACATATCAAATTAACATATTTCATGCCTACATATACAATGCCTGTATATATTTCATACCTATGTATACACAACAACAACAGCAAAAGAACAAATATTTACAAATAAACGGGATTTCAATGGCTACATCCAATCGGACAATCCAACATGAACACATTTTGAAAGAATATCTAAAAGACGAGACAGAATCAAGCGAGCTGCAATCATTTTGGCTCAACTCAAAATAAGTTTGAAGTCAAGTCAAGCTATTGATAAGTGAAGCTTGACTCAGGCCATGTCTCCGTCTACACAATGTATAAGAGCAATCCGAGAAATGCTACCTGCCTTTCTATTCCTCAAGTTATCATGTGAGTGCTCCAATTATAAACTATGAGAAAACTTCATAATATTACCCCAAAACTACTATTTCCAAAACATCTTATTGGGAACATGCACATCAGCACATTCCAAGCCTGAGAAGACCTTGTGCAAGCGGCAAAGAGAAAATTCTAGCCTCCATGCACAGATCAAACCGCAGTTATCAAGTACAAACCTGGCCTGGGATATATGCTCTCGAAAGTGGTGGGCTATAAAGAACAGAGGCGATGACTTTGAAAATTGATGATATTTAAATATCTCTTGGTTATCAAATAGAAAAACCCATAAAGCTTCTCATTCCGTTTGAATGCACTTCATAAAGTTATCAACTACCTTATTAGCACTATTTACAGACAATAACTGCACTGGCAAGGGAAATAAGGATTGCATCGTAA